TGGGGTGGGAAAGGAGAGCCTGCTAGGAGGAAGCCTACCCTGGGGAGGGAAGGCAATGAGGAAATCTCAGTCTCCTCCAAAGATAACTAACTCCTTGCTCCCAACTTCCTCAGGTAAAATTTTTCTTTCCAGAATTATTTTTGAGCAGAACTAGAAGTGAAGGTTTTTAACTAATACCATGGGTAAGGAATGAACTACGTTAAAGCCGGTTATAATCACATGGAGTCGCTGAGATTCAGAGAACATAATCTGGTGTTCACCGCCTCCACAATAACAAAAAAGGAAGATGTTTCTGCAATATTCCTCTGAACAATAGATTTATTTTTTTTTTTCTTATTTGTCTGCCCTGTACACTTAGCCTCTCTTCAGTTTTAGGATAGAAAGCTGTTTTTTTATCTCTATCTTATACTGCACTGTCAATCTTCAAAAAATTGAGTGACAGCTAGAAAAAAATGTTTAATTAAATTGTGCTCTTAAGTAAAAGCAAAGGAATAAAATGCGTCATCACTGCCAACACATATACAACTAACTCTTCAAAGCTTCTAAGCAGAGCCTTCCTATTAAAAATGAGGCTGAGCAGTATTATAAACTAAAATTTTTTTAATTAAAAATAAAATCATAATTGAATTAAATAAATGCTCTATGCAGATTAAGAAATTCATACCATTAGACAAGATAATGTTTAATATATACTTAACTGTGGAAATCAGTCAACACAAAAATTTCACTGAATATACAAATAGTCAACAGGATGAGAAGAATTTTAATATGTTTCCTTAGATCATGAAATTTAGTTAAATTAGACCAGAAAACTTTATGATACTATGAAATTTACTTCTGATAATAAAACGAAAAATTTTTCTAAATCTCAAAAATATTATATTCCATTCATCTCTAAACAAATTAAATATTACATACCTGAATCTAACCAACATAAGCATTTTAAAATTAAAGTTTGGTTGAGATTCAGAAGTTGCCATTAATACGTTACTGTTAACATAAAGGTAAGAAAAATTTAGTTTGACAACTGTTAAAAACTTACTTCAGAGCATTTTGTGTATCTTGTTTCAATTCACTGAAGAAAGCTATTTTGAACTGATGTCTAACAAATAAAAGCTGAAAAAAAAGAATAGAAAAAAGTTATTATTACACACATTCTCTTAAAATGTAAAAATTACGATAACATTAAGAGGAGACATCAAAGTACGAAGTAAAGTACTCAAAATTAAAGACCAAGAATTATTCCAACAAGCATTGTTAAGGAAGCTAAAAAATCTGTAAGAACTTTAAGGGCAAAAAGTAGAAAGACAAACTAGTTTTTAAAAAGCTTAAAAAAAAACTTTAAAAACATCAAAGCATTACAGATATTTAATAATCTCTTTGAAAATAATCAATGATAATAATCTGCTCTTAGAATGCTTCTATTATTTCCTTCTTTAGGAAAAATAATTTACCTGGTGTGTTGTTTTATTCAAAAATTCTTTATGAGATTTCACTCTTCTAATCTCAGTGTAGTAATAAGTCTGTGCATGTTCATAAAAGGCATTTTCTAATCTGTTTAAAAAAAAAAATCAACATTCAAACACTAAAGTTATTTTAAACCAAACTGTTCTCAAGAATCACCTTTATAAGACCTGAAAGTAAAATCCTGACAGAGATGTCTAGCTTACTTCATGGTAAAGACAAAAAGTAAAGCAAAATATACTAAATTTCTAAATAAAAAATGTACTAGATAAGACCCCAAAAGCCATTTCGATTTATTTACAGTCTAAGAAATAACTAATAAAAATAACTTTTTTGTAATTTGTAGACATTAGGTGTTCTCTAAGACTACTTCCACCCCTTTCATTTTATAAGAAGTGTAAAAGAAAAAGATTTCCAATATTCACTTAATTTGACTATTTTTTGTGCTATTAATATTTAAGGTGAGAGGGTAAGAAAGCTAATGGAAAAAGCACCAAAAATAAGAACAGGCAAATGAGGGGTGCCTGGGTAGCTTAGATGATTAAGCATCTGCCTTCAGCTCAGGTCATGATCCCAGGATCCTGGGATTGAGCCCCGTGTCTGGCTCCCTGCTGAGCAGGGAGTCTGCTTCTCCCTCTCCCCCCACCCACCGCCGCCAGCTTGTGCTCTCTATCAAGGAAATAAATAAAATCTTTTAAAAAAAAAATACTGGCAAGTGAGAGGAAAGTAGCAATTATAGGATTCAAATCCTGCTTCACTCCCTAACTTTGAGATAACATAGGAACAAAGAAAATTAACCACAGATAGATAGACAAATCAAAGTTCCTTTTGTGAAAATAAGTACGTATTACAAATATCTGCCTGGGGCATGAAAGAAAGCTAAATTCATAGTTAGATAAGGCTGGACTTCAAGGTTTTTCCTCCTCAGAATAAAACAGAATTTTGAAACTATACTCAAAGAGTTTAGACATATCTAAGGAAATGCTAAGAAAAAAAAAATGGAGGGGCGCCTGGGTGGCTCAGCCGTTAAGCGCCTGCCTTCGGCTCAGGTCATGGTCCCAGAGTCCTGGGATCGAACCCCGCATCCGGCTCCCTGCTCCGTGGGGAAGCCTGCTTCTCCCTCTCCCACTCCCCCTGCTTGTGTTCTCTCTCTCGCTGTGTCTCTCTCTGTCAAATAAATAAATAAAATCTTTTTAAAAAATGGATAAGCCAAAAACTTTAAATATTTGATATACTTCCTAAGGTAAGATTTCCTATTTTTATTAAGATTTATTTTTGAAAGGCAAAATATGATACTAAAAAAAAAAAAATCCGCTGGTTAGCATGACACTGATAGTCTATTGCCCTAAGAAGAAAGGTCTGGGGATTTGGAACAAAGATTTTTAAAAAAGAAAAATGCTTAACTCATCACAAATTTGACAATTCTTTTAAAAGTATTTTGACTCAAAATGATCAGTGAATCTCTAAAGCACAAAAGATTCTCACAATCACTCAACACATCACACAGAAGTTTTACACACATTCTATTGCTTTGACACTTAAAAAAAAAATTAACTAAATCACTGACATCTTGTAGCCTGTAAACTAAATACATCAAAATGTTCTGAAAGCACACAAATGAGTGAGGGTGCCACCAGTAACTGCTAATTCCCCCCCTAGATCAGACACTGAATGTGATGATTTACTGATACTCAGCCTTACCCTCTCTCTTAAGATAAAATGCAAATATGAAGAAAGGGTCTAATACTGTCTTCCCCCATCTCCTGTGGACTGTCTCACCCCTGGTGCTCACATTCAGAGTTTGGAGGTCCTAGGTCCAGAGCACTTGCTTTTTACATCAGTCTTTTTGACACTGTACTCCTTATTTAAATGTGGCATTATTCCCAGGAGGGCAAAAGCCACAATTCCTGCTTCTCTTAGCTGAAGAGGACATTAAGGCGGGGTTTCTCAACCTCAACCTCACGGGCGTTTCTTTGTTGTGTGGGGCTTTCCTGTGCCCGGAAGGATAGAGAGCAGCATCCCTGAACTCTCCCCACCAGATGCCAGTATTGGGAAGGAAGTCTCCGTGGCGGCCATGATAAATGTCTCTGGCATTACCCAATGCTCCCTGGAGGCCCAAATCACCACAGTTAAGAATCACTGGATTCAGGGACAGGATGGAGGACAATGGCTTTTTAAAGAAGGCTGCATGTGAACTCAGCCTTAAAAGTTGAGCCAGAGAGCCCAGAAAGGGGAGCTGGAAGGAAAGCACACTGACAGGAAGCCACACCGTGAACGGGGAAACGGTGCAGCGCAAAATCAAAGGCCTCGAGAGGTGGTCAAAGGCCGGCTCCACAGTCAGCGTAGAGTCTGCTTGGCCCTCTCCCTCTGCTCCTCCCGCTGCTCTCAGTCTCTCTCAAATGAATGAATGAATAAATAAATAAATAAAATCTTAAAAAAAATAAACAACTTCTCTGCAGCACTAAATGCTAGAAAACAAGGGACTGTGGTCACATATTTTGTGAGATATGGTTGTGTCCCAAGTCAGATGCCTTTCACATAGAAGGGCTTTATAAAGATATTTAAGATATGGTCGGCCTCAGACCCTTCTTAAAAATTATTTAAATAATACATCACCATATCGAAAATGAAGCAATGAAGGCCAGAAATGAAGACACTATCATATGAAAGGACAAACAGGTCATGAAAGGACATACGGTGCTTACTGAAAAATACAATGGAAAAAACATGTAAATATTTTTTTAAAAAAATGGAAGTTGACTTAGATATACATTTGGTGTCAATGAGGTAATGCTACGTGGCAGTTCAGCATATGTTGTATGATTACATCTATTTTTACACTAAAAGACATATTTGGACAGAAACTTAAGAAATTATTGATAGTGGTTCCAACAAGGGACTGGAGAAGGTTAAGGAGCTGACAAAGGGGCCTTGTGTTTTCACCTCCTAGCCTCTATACCCTTTGAATTTTTTCCCATGAACATGTATTTTTTTAATTAAATGAGTCTAAGCAACCAATTTGCAATGCCTCTGAATAATCAAAAGAAAAAAATGTTTAAGATCTTTATTTACCTTATAATATAACCCACCAGGTGGTCAGTGTGGGGCAATACAAACAAAGATTTTCCTGAGAGTTCACAGGCATTACATAAAGCTGCGGCTCTTTCTGATGCAGTAACATCTTCTCCTGTTGACAAATCCCATAAAGGTGAAGAGAGAAATAAAATGATTTGTGTATTTTTCTAAACGAATGGTTCCCCAAATCTAAACAACATAATTAGGAAGAAAAACCAAACCCCCTTTCACCATGTCAGAAGGCCTCCTGGAATCCTTGAGAGGTCTGGGGGGAGGGGGGGAGCGGTTCTCAGAAGTCCCACAGTACATATCTGTTAGGAAAACCCTGTGGAATTTTCTACTGAGCTAAGATAGACAGGCCAAGTAATGCCAACAGATATGCCACATAACTGTTTCAAAACTGTAACTAAAAACAGAAGCAATCATCCATGAAAGTGGTTTCTAAAACTCGGATCCCACAAGTTTCAAAAGAGAAACAAAAAACATTTTGGCCTCTCAAAGTCTTAGAATGTAGGAGAAATAAGCATTTGAAGCTAAGACATTTTCTTATAAGAAACTTGAAATCCTATAGCATTTCTCTTTGTCCTACAGCAAATTCAGAAAAAAAAAAAAATCACAGGAAGAATATAATTTCAAACTGACTTCAAATAAGCAAATAACATTCTTTTTTAAAAAATCAAGTGATGAAATGTTTTGTCAATTGATGTATGCCTATATAGTGAGGTAAGTGGAACTGGGGGGGAAGAATATTTCAATATTAATTTTTATTAATATTTTAATTTTAGCATTTTATTTTTTACGATAGGCATTTATTCATGCATTAGTACTTTTTAAAGTGAACACACCATCTTTCCTATAATTGAATGCATAAAAGATTTTAACATCAAAAACTATACCTCCTGATAATAAGAATGAGAAGTATAAAGCAATTAATTCATTATCAATTAACTTTGTGATACCTGGTGGCAAAGGAGTTTTCTTCTGAATCAGAACCACTGCAACTTTTGTGTTTCTCCCTTGTAAACTTTGCCTGCAATGGAAAAATAATAAAATTAATTAAATATACCTAAATTGTTTTGACTTTTAAAAAATGTCTTCAAGACTTTACAAAGGGGCACCTGGGTGGCCGAGTGAGTTAAGCGTCTGCCTTCGGCTCAGGTCATGATATCAGGGTCTTGTGATCGAGCCCCGCATCGGGCTCCCTGCTCTGTGGGGAGTCAGCTTCTCCCTCTCCCTCTGTCCCCCCCCACCTCCACTCGGGCTCTCTAATAGATGAATAAAATCTTTAAAAGAAAAGAAAAGACTTTACATAAAGTACAAGCTTGATGATTCAATTGAAGAAAGAAAAATTTCAACTAAAAACCCCCAAGATTAGAGGAAATCTTTTCCTGCATACAAAGAAACTTGTATGCTACAGTGATTTCAGTTTTAAAAGTATACTCTCGTATCAAGCTCCTAATCCTGACAAAAATCTGCTTTAAATATATAATTTCATGTAAAAGTTATAAGGCAACTTATTTCTTGATGGTGATACGTTACAGACTGGTCATCCAAAAGAATTATTTTGAAACCGGAATGGTGATAACACAAGTGTCTTATGAGACTAAATAGCAAATTACTATACTTCTCCCCCAATTTATAAAGGCAAGGAAAAAAAACATTTGGAAATTCAGACTAATGTGTCTTCTACATTTCTTCACACACCTTAGCATTGTAGAAGTTAAGCATTCACGTGAAGCTACCTGTCAGGAACCAGACAAGTGTCACGGGAGGTCGGCAATCCCCGAATGAGCGCTGCAGTCTCAACAGCACTCGGCTGCCTTGAATAAACACTGGGAAATTGTACAACCTCCCATGGTCCATCCAATACACGGAGAAGACTGTACCTGACGATTTCCACTCTGGTAGCGCACTCGGACTGCTTTTCTTTCCACTGGGGCTCATCCCAGTCCAGTTCATAGAACACAACCACCAGGGCCGGCACCAGATTCAGATGTTTATTCATCCAGCCGGTCTTCAAGATCCCCTTAGGAATGTACCATTCATAGGAAGTTCTCTGCGAACATTGGCAAAAGCAGAAGACACTGATTTGTTAACAGCAGAAGCCACCTCTTACTAAGTGGGACGCACTTCCTGTGCATTCATCTCATTCCACATACACAGGACACATTTTTAAGATGAGGAAATTCAGGCCTACAGAGATCACACAAGAGCTAACAAGTATTGGAGACAGAATCACAACAGTGAGTCTGCTACAGTTGCCATTGAAAGAATAACCGGGGGCGCCTGGGGGGCTCAGTCGGTTAAGCAGTTCAGCGTCTGCCTTCAGCTCAGGTCATGATCTGGGGTCCTGGGATCGAGCCCTGCATCAGGCTCCCAGCTCAGCAGGGAGCCTGCTTCTCCCTCTGCCTCTGCCTCTCCCCCTGCTTGTGCACTCTCTGCCTCTCTCCCAAATGAATAAATAAAATCTTTTAAAAAAGAAAGAATAATCAAAGCCAAAGCACTTCTAATAATGTCCAGGCTCTGAAATATCCTGGAAATCATTAGCCCCTTTCTGGGTAAATTCTATTCCTCACCATTCCAGGTTCCGTTCTTGTCAATGCAGCTCAAATAAAATATGATCTAAAACCCAATATGGCTTCATTTGTTTCAAAGACATGTTGCCAGGATGGCATTTTACCTTACCTGTGGATGGAGGAAAAAAATGAAGGACAACTCTTAAATACAGAAGTGTGGTAGCAGTCACTCGGGGGTCAGCACCAAGTGGCTAAGTGCCACACCATGGGAGGGAGAGGGGTTGGTGTGAATGTTAGCCCAGAAGAAACTCACTGAAACCTCAAATTGCTTCCAAAGCGCCAGTCCCAACTCAGACTACTCCCAACAGTCTCTTCGAGTGAGGAAAGACAATAACGATGAAAGGCAACCAGACACACAAAACTTAGGGACTCAGGAAAGAATATGGAATCGGCACATGAAAAGCTCCCGTGCTGGAGAATAGATCCAGGACAAAATGCGGAGGGCTGTGCTGGGCACTGGACCTCCTAGACACAACCTCCACACTAAGAACAAACACGTAATGGCCAGGGTACTCTCCCTTGCACAGTTCCAGAGAGAGCACACAGCTTTGACAACCAGGGATATGAAACCGCATCTCTACTAGTCTGCCACACATATGCAGAAGGATCAGCCAGCCACCAAAGCCACAGGTCCTACCCTTCCAGAGTTTCACTGAGAAGGCCTTGCATTTACATTTTTCATAAACATTACCAGTGATGATGATATCCTTGGTCCAAAGACCAGTCTGTCAGAAACATTGCTCCAGGGCAAAATATAAAAATAAAAAAAAAGAGCAGGTGGCTTATTTTGATCAGTGTGTCTCGTTAACCGACTTTCAGACCAACTCATAAGATTATGATAAACAAATCAATATACATGATTTTATTTAAAAAGCAAAGTAAGTACTTTTTATTTACTAGCTGCTATTATTAACATCATTCTCTGATTTTGTAGGTAAATCAGAGTCTCTTCTATGATGTTCAACCTAAAAGTCAGTTTTGAACTTAATACCTTTCCTCACTCCACACTAAATAAACTGTTTTAGTTTATGTACGACTCCCCAGGGACAGAGAGCTTGTCTTACTTAAATTTCTATCACCAGCCTACTGCATAGTTCCTAGTACCTAACCCAAAGCAAGTGCTCAAAAGATATGTGTGAAATTGAACCAAACTGCAAAGACCGTGGATTCTATAATGATACTGGGTAATGACAAATGGGAAATGTGAGATCTTCCTTTTACTTTTTTCTTTTTTTCTTTTATTTATTTATTTAACAGAGAGAGACACAGCAAGAGAGGGAACACAAGCAGGGGGAGTAGAAGAGGGAGAAGCAGGCTTCCCGCCAACCAGGGAGCCCGATGCAGGGCTTGATCCCAGGACGCTGGGACCATGACCTGAGCCGAAGGCAGACGCTTAACGACTGAGCCACCCAGGCGCCCTGAGACCTTCCTTTTAGAGAGGGCTTTGTGGAGACCAGGAAGGGCTTTAAGCAAATGCAAAAAAAAGCAAACCCAGGATAGAAAGCTTAATAATTATAAAGTAATTATTCCTCTAGAGTTAAAAAAAAAAAAAGCTATCATTAAACATACCTATCATGTATTACATACATGAAAAAGCCTTGGGTTTTCTTAATGCTTCACTATAACCATGGCTTTGATAAACTCAGGGGTTTTCCAGCACAAACATTAGGAACAAAAAAGGTATACACGCGTACAGAGGAAGAGAGGTAGAGAAGGAAAAGACCCCATGCAATCATATCATTACCTTAGGCCTACATTTGGGATACTCATGGTCACCTGGGAGCACCTTGAAAGATATTGGTACCCGATCAGCCCTCCGATTGGCACAGAAAGCGTCCCAGACAGCTCGATGGACAGCATTATAAACTACATCCAGGCCCGTAAGGGTAACAAAAGCCATAGGCCGACAACATAATTCCACAGGGAAGTCCCACTGTGTGGGGCTCATGTTCAAGGTGTCAGGAAAAATCTGAAATACAAATTAAATACATTCAAAATGTTTTAAAAGCCCATATCCATATCTCATCTATGAGCCTCCACCACTTATAAAACATTACAAAAAGGCAAGAGACTAGAGTCTTTTCGAGTGTCTGCAGGAAGGTGATCAAATTAAAATAGGTCTCATGACCCATTTCTGATACAAAGAAAAATAACTGCTGACTTACATATAATAAATACAACTATCTAATTTCTTTGTAATTGCTAACATCTAATTTCTGAATTCCTGGGAAATTATTAAAATAATATGCTAGTTATCTAAATAGCTATGATTTCTCACTTCTCCATAATTAATGTAAAGCGTACTATTTAAAGGAAACTCTAGAAGAGAAAAACTAACAATGAATGAAAATGTCTAGGAGGGACAAGTTTCCACTGTGTCCTTCAGCTGAGAATCAGTCTATAATAAATCCTTCCACACACTAATTACAGAAAAGCAATTATATAAAACTGTTTATTCCAAAGAAAACTGCCATTATATTTTAAAGACCATTTCTCATTTCCAAAATCATGTATCAAGAGTTCCTTTTCAAAGGTGATCTTCACCAGTATATCTCACAGACCTCAAATGCAATTTTTGTGAAAAGTGAAAAGCACTGTACCACTACTTGATAACCAAATATTTTTAGCTGAAAAGTTAATTTTAAAAAAGATCATTAGGCTTCTCACACTTAAGTACTGAAGGAATAATGGGTATTGAATAAATGATTTGGAAAGCTTACCAGAAATGATAAATTTCTACAAGATATAGAAGTTTTAGAATTATTTAAGCAGATATTTTCCAGACAGGATTAAGCTAATGAGGGCAAAGGATCACCAGTTCAGAGAAAGAAAAACTCTAGTTCTAGGGAATTTGGGGTTGAAAATTAAGAAGAGATGGTCAAAACACATTATACAGCCTTTGCTTTATACCAAAGAATCTAGATTAGAGCCCTAAAGGTCCATTTCTTCATTTAAAAACCCCAGAGGCTCAAGAGAATTAGCTGTGGTCTTTGAATATGGACTGGAAATAAGGGATCTAGAAATGACTTACAAAGCTTTAAATCACAGTGCTGTCCAAAAGAAATATAATATGAGCCACATAAATAATTTAAAATTTTCTAGTCATATTAAAAAATAAAAAAAACAGGTGGAATTTTAATATTCTATTTAACCAATTATGTCCAAAATGCGACTACTTAGACATAAATATGTTACTGAGGTATTTCACTTTTCTGTACCAAGTCTTCATTATCTGATGTGCATTATACACTCACAGCACATCTCAATTCAGGCTAGCCAATTTCACATGCTCAATAGGCACATATTCCTACTGGCTATCATAATGGACAGCCCAGCTTAAATTACTGTCAATCTGTCCCCAAAAATTAACGTATGAAAACTGTATCAGAAATTCTTGCCACATACTATCAAAAGCTTTTGGCACTTGAGACGGTACTGCTTATTCTACAGCAAAGGGATGGGAATGGGAAAAACACTGGCAAAGGACAGGTGCAGAGGTTGTGTGGATCTTAATGACAGTCTGTAGAAATTTCCAGATATCCTAGAAGAAGCCAATGAAGCAATAACAAAGTATGACATGCAAGGAGGTGCAAAAGTCCTAAGTGAACACGCTTAGGGAGATCATGTAACGCAAGGGGAAGTAATCTGAAAGCTAGCGTGGAAAATACTAAGGAAGGTTCTTGAAAAGGATGACATACTGCAAAGAAAGGCGACCTAATCAAAGTGGCAGGTTAAAAAACGCAATGTGGTCACTATTTTTTAATTCATGGAGGTTCAGGGTGTAGTACACAAGGCTGGTAAGGACTACAAGACGATTCTAAGAGGAGTGCCAAAATTGGGGCCGGGATGGAGCGGGGGTGGGGGCGGGGAACAGGTGTTGAGAACGTGAAGCACCCACTTTACTTAGAAAGATACCACCCCCAGGGTCTCAGCATTCTGCCCAGGGATATCCAATGAGGAAAGGGAGAAATAACGCCGCAGCCCTCAAGGCAGACTCTATATTCCCCCTCTCCTCTCCCTCCACTTTAAACCTAAAGGCCCTAGGGGCTGGAAGAGAAATGCCAGGACTGCACCCGCAGACGCCGAAGGAAAACGCAGCCCCCCTCCCCCCCAAAACCAGCATTGTTCAGAGCTAGCTCTCTCCCTCGGCGGCCTCGCCTGGCCCCGCGGGTCTCCGGGGCCGGACTCACCCAGGCCGCACGCCCCGGGCCCGCTGCAGCTGTGGCCGGTCGCCGCAAGCCGGGGGAGGGCGCGGGGAAGCAGGCAGGGTGTCACAGAACGCCGGGGCCCGTCCCCACTGCCACCGCCCCAGAGCCGGTCCCCGCAAGCAAGACTTCCCGGTACCCGCCTGCGCAGGCACAGGAAGCACTTTGGGCACCTGAGTGACAGCGCTCTACGCCAACCGCTGTCCCGAAACTTAACGCGGCTCCACAAAACGTAGGAAGACGCTCCATTCCCTACGGGAGTAGGAAATAGGGGTGGGGAGAAAAGGAGCCAATAGGAGAAGCGAGAAGGAGGAGGAGGCGGAGCCTCTGCCGCTACGGCCCTGCAGCGTCTCCCAGGTCGCCCCGACGCCCCACCCTCGGCGGCCTCGGGCTCCCCGCCCACAGACCCCCCGCAGGCAGCTTCGAGCTGCCCGGAGGCCGGTGGCGCGCGTGACTCTCGTCCGCCGTGCGAGGGGTGTGCCTCCAGCAGCCCAGGGCTCGGAAGGGGGACGCCCCGGGCTCGGGGCCACTGCTCTCCCTTTCTCGTTGTCGCAGACGCCCTCCCGGGGGGCGTCCCGCAACCGGCGCGATGAGTGCCAACGAGGACCAAGAGGTGAGTCCTCCTGGCTAGACGCTCCTTCCCCGCGCCGGCGCGGTGCCTCGGCTCCGAGAGACGGCGGCTGAGCCCCCGGGGCCCTGCTGGGTCCTGGCGCCGGGAAGAGCGGCCCCGCACGTTCCTTCGCCCCTACAGCGGACAGAGCCTGGCTGGGGTGCCCCAAGTTTACGGGTGTCCTGCGAGGAGAGGCCAAGCACACGGGAACGGGAAGGGTCCACCTCTGCCTCCGCTCCCGCTGTAGTTTTCAGTTTTACAAGCCCGGGAGTGACCCCATGCCTCCCTAATAATAAGGATGCGTGTCCTTGGTAGGCGACCCAGTGCTCTTGCCTCGCCTTAAGTCCCCAGTGTTCTTGTTTAGCGCTTGTGTACGGAGTTAAGCTGTTTGGAATCTGATTACCTTAAAATTTTAAAATTTCTTGGCTGGTAGGGAGAGACTTAATTGAGTTAGTTAAATTTCCGGTGGAGGAAAATAATGACACTGTCTCCGATTTCTGGCCTTTCTGTTTGGTGGAATCATTTATCCATCTGGTAGTTGTCCAATGGAAATTAAGGCAGTTTTGAGCATGCATGTACCACCTGAATCGTAGAGTTTATGCTCAGCTATTTTCTCATGAAATGCCACTTTGACATTGAATCATATGATCAGGGAATGACACAGGTCATCTCTAGGGGAGCCGTCTAATTGTGTAATGTGTCCAGATGAGGAGAAGAGTTTGCGAAGGTAAAGTGGATGCCCCAGGGCTGCACAGTGAACATGTGGGTAGAATCAGAACTAAAATCCGAGTCTCTTAAGTAATTCCCTCTTCATTTAAAATATATTTGTCGAAAGTTAGCACTTTTACAAGATAAATGTGATAGAATCCCTGGAATGGAAGTTACCTTAAAAGGACCCAAAGTCCAACAAGCTGGTGAAATCCCTTCTAAACTGTTCTTGCCAAGTGAGTTTCTAAGTCAAGGCACCAACAAATTCTTACTGTGAAGCATGGAGCCTATCATGTCATATTTCTCAAAGTTTGGCCCATGGAGCACTGCCTTAGAATCATCTGGGTGATTGTTAGAAAAACAGGTGCCTGCACTGTACCTCAGGTTTACTGAATTGGAATTCCTGGGGGGCCCAAGGATCTCCATTTTAACAATAGAATTCCATTCTTCTTCCACATGACTGATTTTCAGATCTTTGAAATCAGTTTTCTGCCCCTTTTTCACATGTCCTCTTCTCACACTAAATGATTCCTTTTAGCTTTTTTCCATATGTCCATTCTTTTTGTTCCTTCATTGTCTTGAAACTGTGTGTCTGTGGACAGATTAAGTTTACTTATGTCCTGTTTTAAAATTGTGGCATCACAGTTTTCTACAGTTAGTTACTGTCAATTACAACCCTTTAAGTTTCTGTACAAAGCAATTTGTCTTTCATCCTCTGCTTGTGTGTTTAGTGATCTAAAGACAAGTTCTTCCACTTACCCTATAAAATTTCATCTCGTTAGATGGTTTTTCGAGGACATTTTGAATTCTTATTCAGCCACCAGCCTGATTCACTGCTCCATCAAATTGTCATTCATCAATTTCATGAGGCTGCCTTCAATTTTTGTTACTGACCTACTCATTAGTTAAAATACAGGAAAGGATTAAGGGCAGGAGGAGTAGCCCTATATTTTGAGTAAGGTGGTTCTCTCTAATTTAATCTTGGTTGTTCTTGAATCCAGTTGAATTCCTGTATTTTTTTCACGTGAAGGTAGCAAGAGAAACCCCAGTAGACTGTTCTGTGCCTTTCCTTGATGTACCAATCAAGTTATCTTCTCTAATAAGGGTTGCTCACATTTATCTTGTTTTTCGTATGCTTGCCAAGGCTTACAGACTGCTACTCTTTATTCCCCTAGGCCCCCACAAACTATTTCTTTAATAATCTATTCTAAAATTTTGTCTGTCTTTAGTTTGTAGCATTCATGACATGCATCTTTTTGAAAACTAAAAGATGGGGTGCCTGGGTGGCTCAGTTGGTTAAGCGACTGCCTTCAGCTCAGGTCATGATCCTGGAGTCCCGGGATCGAGTCCCACATCGGGCTCCCTGCTCAACAGGGAGTCTGCTTCTCCCTCTGACCCTCTCCCCTCTCATGCTCTCTCTCTCTCATTCTCTCTCTCTCAAATAAATAAATAAAATCTTTAAAAAAAAAAAAGAAAACTAAAAGATGTACCAAAGTACCGTCTTTCTTTGCTTCTCTTCTTCACCCGTTCATCAGCAATCACAAGAGTGATTGAGTCTTCTCATTTGCCAGCCCACAGTGTTCTAAGAAATATTTCCAGGCAAGGATTATTAGTTACATTTTCTCTTGCAGTCCTTTTTTCCATCTTGGGTAGATCCTTGTCAAACCTTTTTCTAACCATCATTTTTTTTTTTTAAGTTCTTTTTATGATCTGTAAGTGGTTTTTCAAGTTTCATATCATTCTGTGGAAAGGATAACAAATATAAATAATACATGTAAACAGTGGGGAATTATTGTGCTTTGTATTTCTCATCTCCAAGTGTAACGCTCTTTCTACCCCAGCCTAGGACACATGCTTTGGAGTTGCTTTAAACTGACTTATTTTCCTCCTTGCTAGAAAGGAGAAAATAAGATATTCTTCCCAGGATTAATGTGAGAATTAGTGAGATAGTGCACTGTAAAATGCTTAGGAGTGCCTGGCACATAATTTTAAAGTAAGTATTAGTATTAATATTGTGTCGCTACACTCACATATATACGTTATATACACATATTACAAACATCAAAGGCCATCTAGAGTAGCTAAGTTTTACATAGTTGAGTGGGCTTGAATCAGAAACTAAAGACCCTCTATTTCTAATCCACTTATACCACTAAAAACTCATTTGATTCATTCTTTTTTCAGATGGAACTGGAAGCTCTACGTTCTATTTATGAAGGAGATGAAAGCTTCCGGGAATTGAGTCCAGTGTCATTTCAATACAGGGTAAGATGTGACATGACTAGGAGCCCTTGCCACTTTGCTAGAAAAGATTGAAGGTTGCTAAAGATGCTTTCATTTTTTTAAATGATTTTGTTTGTTAAATTTAACGGTTTAAATTTCTTACATCTTTGGATTTTCTGAAACCTTTGAATGAAAGCTCATCACCGTGACATCAGTTATTTTTAGCTTTTGAAAACAATTCAGAAACTTTGAAAAACTAAGATAAACTTGTTTTTGTTGTGTCAGAATTATCAAATGTTAGAAGTGGAAGAAACCTTAGAAATTATATGGTCTTGCCTTCTAACCTTAAAAGATAGCATCTCTCAGTCATAACTTCCCAAGCTTTCCCAGCTGATGCTGATAAATACTAGAATTAAAATCCAGGTCTCTATTCCAAGTCTAGTATTATTCCCCCCACCCACCATGATACAGTCAAGAAAACTTGATATTTTCCTAATTCCATATAATTAATATGTGAATATTTACATTTACATATTCTTTAAAAGGGAGTTTGCTCATAACTGTTCTCAACATGAAACAGTACCAGTATCTTGTTTTGTAAATAAATAACATAAAGCATTTTTCCAGATGATTATAAGTAGTAGTGGTGTGAGAAAGTTTTTTTGTATAAGACTTAGTTATTTACATCATCATTTAAAATAAATTATGTGATAAGTGATCCTTACGTGTCATTATTATAGACTGTTACAGAAAATGAATTCTTTATCATTACTTTCTTTAGAGACTCTCTTCTCTGTTTAGCTCCTCTCAATTCCCTTTCAAGCTCAACAGTCTTTACACTGCTCCATGGATAGAACAATAAAAAAACTTAATGGCCAAGGTTAACACTGGGGTTAAGACCTAGGCCCTTTGATTTGAATCCAGCTGCCTCCCCAGACTTCCCCAAACACTGCTACTTACCCCTTAGCAAGTGGGAGATTGAGAACTGCCCCATACTTTCCTAAATATCTGTCTTAACAGCGGTTACTTGTTGACCACAGTATACACAATGTAGTAGGACATGTGTAAGTCCTACAGGATGGATACTCTGCTGTGACCGCAGGATGGATTTCAAGGGTATAAAATGTGAGGTTTGGAAAGCTTGTTTGTGTTGAGAGCCAGAGGACCTAGGGTACAGGTCTGGCTAGGTCCTGGTCAGACCCCTCAGTTCCTCTTTAGCAGACTGGTTTGGTAACCTCCTGAATGATTCTTCCCTTTCAGTTCGGTCAGAATCTTCCCCCCACACCTCACCAGTAGTCCTCCTGCAGACGACTAGGTAGCTCTCTGAAACATATAATTAGTTACCCCATTCTTTCGTTTAGAAGGGCTTCCCCATGGGTTTCTCCTGCCTATAGAAGAGGGATTAAATTCCTTAGCTTGACACTCAAGGCTCTTCTCTTTAATTCAAATTGCCTCTCCAGACTTTCCCATCCACTACCATTCATTAGACACAGTAGCCTGTGGAACATTTCCCTGCATTTTTTTTTTTTAAGATTTTATTTATTTGACACAGAGAGAGCGACAGCAAGAGAGGGAACACAAGCAGGGGGAGTGGAAGAGGGAGAAGCAGGCTTCCTGCCTAACAGGGAGCCCGATGCAGGGCTCGATCCCAGGACCCTGGGATCATGACCCGAGCTGAAGGCAGACGCTTAACGACTGAGCCACCCAGGCGCCCCCCCTGCATTTTTTTAATACCGTGCCTATGGACATGCCATTTGCTCTTTCCCTCACCTCACGTCCCTCATCCAGCCTACTTCTCTTTTAATGCCTAACTCAAGCTCCTCTGTATTTGGGCCTTGTCTCCTAGCTTTCCCTTGACTTCAAAGCAGAATTGACCATTCCCTATTTCTTCATACTTTGTTCTCTTTTAAACTTTTAATCGTGTTGCAGTTTCACGAGTTACCTAAATGTCTGCTCCCCTTGAGGACAGGAATGGTCTTATCTCTATTTTTGTATTTTCTGTACCTAGGACTGTAGGAGACACATGGCACCTTGTTTCTACACACACCTTGAGTAAGGACTTAGTAATTGCATAGAGCAAGTAACTTCTACCACTTTTTCATTATCTCTGTATTTGAAACACAAGCATAAACCGACGATGTCATCAACTTACATAGGTGTATATCAGCAGGTCCTTAAGTTTATCTGACATAATTTTTTTTTTCAAGATTTTATTTATTTATTCGACAAATAGCACAAGTAGGCAGAGTGGCAGGCAGAGGGAGAGGGAGAAGCAGGCCCTCCGCTGAGCAGGGAGCTGGACGTGGGGCTCGATCCCAGGACCCCAGGATCATGACCTGAGCCGAAGGCAGCCGCTTAACCGACTGAGCCACCCAGGTGCCCCTATCTGACATAATTTCTAAGCCTCACCTTATATTGGTGTGTCTTGTGATTGAGGGTGAGGGGAAGGGAATAAAAAATTAGTGGTCAGAGAGTAAAGGTGAATCAAGTGACAATTCGGGGTGAAAATTTTTTCAGTCTGTTGCTGTTGTCTAAAAATAAATATTTTTAAAAAGCAGCACATATACTAAAAATATTACAGAGGAGATCAGCATAGCCCTATGCAAGGATGGGATGCTGACTCATGAATCATTCCATAGTTTTATTAGAAAAATCACCATTTTGCAACCACCAACATGATGCTCATTTCGGGCAAGGCTCATTAATGGATGCTAAAACCTTTGAGTGAAAAGTTGTTGAGAAGCAGTATATTCACATGATTTTGTAGTGTCACTCCACAGATTACTTGTTAATTACAAAATGGAAAAGGTACCTTTACATTGAAGAGATTTGAAGAATATCACCTTAACTGATCAAGCTTAGTATCACCAGTGATGATACCAGAAAATCTTATGTGCCTCCTTATATGATGCTATGGGAATATGCCACATCACCTGTGTAGTATCCCTACCAAAATATTTAATATGAATTGGATGCAGGAAACAGACAGTCCTGATCTGGGGACATTATACAAGAAAACTGGCCTTAGATTCTTTTTGTCATGAAAGATATTTAAAAGGCAGGCAGGGTGGCTGGGGACTGTTCTAAATTAAAGTAGAATAAAGAAATTTGACAACCAAATGTAATCCATGATCCTCAGTGGATTATGGATTTGTGGGTTGAGAAGGTGGTTTATTAAAGGACACTTTGGATATGAATGGGGAACTTTTTAGATGGATGACGAATTAGATAATATCTCTTTGTCAATGTTGAATTTCTTGGGTGTGACAATGGTAGTGTAGTTCTAGAGGAGAATGTCCTTATTCTTAGGATACTTTACCCTGTAAATATTTAAGGATGTTTCATCATGTCTGAAACTTACTTTCAAATAGTTCAACAAAAACCAAAGGAAAAAAAAAAAGGTCACCCCCCATTGGGGGAGGGGGCGATTCTGTAATAGAAAGAAAGAGAAGTGGATGGAGGCAAAGGTATTTGGTGAATAAGATACATGTCAATGAGTGTTCATTGTCCTATTCCAGTTTCTCTATGAGATTAAAATGTTTCAAATACAAAGTTGGGGAGAGCAAAAGAAATAGAAAAGACATGTTTAAATTATCCAAGTGAAGGGGGTGGAAAGTTACAAACTTCCGGTTATAAAAAAAATTAGGGATATAATGTACAGCATGGTGACTATAGTTAGTAACATCGGATCGCATATTTGAAGGTTGCTAAGAGAGTAGATCTTGAAAGTTCTCAGCCAGCCTAAGGCATTCCTAAACCTTATCTCTTTACCTTTTCCTTTTTTCTCTAAATTTAACATTTCCTTTTCTGGTCTTGGGATTGTGCTAATGCATATCAATCACTTGTTTTGAACACCTCTTCTGATTTGGCAATTAGAAAACTTAGGGCAAAGATTAGGTCTTTCAAGTTGGTGGATTATTATTTTTGTCCATTCTCTTCCTGTCCCCCACAGTTGATGTCTTATCTTTGTCCCCAGAAAGCTCTGATGAAAACAAAAATTTATATAAGACAGTCCTGATACTGGAAAAAGCTGGAGGGCTGGTTGGAGAGACAGGCCATGGACATCAAGTCAGGTTCTATTAATACGGCTGTCACCCCCTGCCAAGTCTCAGCCTGTACCCCTGAACTTTTCGGAATACTGTGTTTCTGATCTGACCATGAGCGTCGGCAATAATTCATCATTTTAAAAGTCATAATTAAATATTCTGTCTTTGTATCACTTTTTACAAGCCTAAGATTTCCCTTTTCTTCAGATAGGTGAAAATGGTGATCCCAAAGCCTTCTTAATAGAGATTTCCTGGACAGAAACATATCCCCAAACACCTCCAATTATATCTATGAACGCTTTTTTTAACAACACCATGTGAGTAGTGTTCTGTTTTCATTGTTTTTTTGTAATGCTGTCTCTTACTTTTCTCTCAGCAATATGTTTCTTGTGCATTATAGATCATCGGCTGTAAAGCAGAGCATATTAGCCAAGTTACAGGAAGCAGTGGAGGTCAATCTTGGGACCGCCATGACCTACACATTGTTTGAATATGCCAAGGACAATAAGGAGCAGTTCATGGAGAATCACCAGCCCGTGAATTCTACGGTGAGCTCGTGCTTCGTTTTGGTTCCACTTTGCTGCTAATTCAGCTTTGCTAGTTATTATTTTTTTTTAATTGGAAGGAGATACTGTGTTAGATTGAAAATGAGTTAGGGGCGCCGCGTGGCTTAGCTAACTGCCTGCCTTCGGCTCAGGTCGTGGTCCCAGGGTCCTGGGATGGAGCACCCCCATCGGGCTCCCTGCTCCGCGGGGACGCTGCCTCTCCCTCTGCCTCTCCCCCAGCTCTCACTCTCTCTTGTTTTCTCAAATAAATAAAATCTTTAAAAAATAAATAAAATAAGTGATATCTGAGTTAAATAAGAATAGTGAATTTTAGGTTTTTTAGTGTCTATTTAACTTTAAAAATGAAATCATATCCTTTAGACCTTACCCTTCATATAAGACTAGAATACTTCATGTGCCCACCAAAAACTGAGGTGGTGTTGAACCAAATATTTGTTTAAATGTATTTAATGTCTTCATAAAGCTCAGATTGAGGAATTCTGACGTGGTGCTAAAATACATTTGAAATTACTTTCTTCATGAGCCTTCTTCAGTTGTCAATAGTCTTGCCCCAGTTCCCTTTGAACGTGGTGCAAGCTTGAGGAGACTTCATTAATAGGAAAAAAATAATTTTATTTCTAAAAGTATTTTAGGAAATCATCACCTTTTATGACCGCAGGCATCTCTTTTTAGAGCTGCACCCAGTCATGTGCTAAAAGACTTTCCGTGGTCGCGGTCCATTGAGTTCTGTGAACCAGGCCGGTGGCTTTCTGAGAGCAGCTGCTCTGTGGTCTTCGACTTGAGCAGGTCTGCCTTCTACATTCCCAACAGAACACAGAAGAACACTGAGGGCGGCTCTCTAGCGATAGAAGGTGGTAGCAGAGCTGGTGGGCTATGGGCCACACCAGGTGGCCCTGAACATCCTCACTGCACCACTCACCATGTGACTTTTTTTGATGGGGGAAGAGGACCAATGTCTTAATCTCACTGTGCTCAGTTTCTTCTTTTGTAAAACAGGGATTATAATAGTATCTACCTCATAAGATTGTAGTAAGGATCAAACGAGTAATATATGGACAACATCTATAGCAATGCTTGGCATCTAGTAAGCATTTTAAATTTTGCCTATCACACTCTGATTACATGAATCCAAATTAAAATTTTTTTTTTGAAGATTTTATTTATTTATTGAGAGAGAGAGCAGGGGGGAGGAGCAGAGGGAAAGGGAGAGAAAATCTCAAGCAGACTCTGTGCTGAGCACGGAACCCAGTGCAGGGCTCAATCTCACAACCCTGGGATCATGACCTGAGCCAAAATCAGCAGTCAGACACTTAACTGACTGAGCCACCCAGGCACCCTTAAAATATTTTTCTTCATTCATGAAGATTTTCTTCATTTCTTCAGGGAATCAGGGTTTTCTAGGTAGGCACGTGTGATTTTTCTAAAGACATATTTAAACTTCCAAATCAAGCAAATTACATGAATTATAAAATTACCTTAGAAGTTCAGAACTTCATCATAATGTTGGTATCAGGTCTTCTTTTTCAGAGACCTGGTTATAACAATGGAACTAACATTATGTAAGCCCCTCTATGGGAACTTTTAGAAGAATGAAAGCAGTGTGCTAATGGCACCTGATCTAATAAATGGATAGTATAATATAGGATTCTTTTACTTCACAGATCTAAAAATTGTCAACTCGTTTGAGGATGTAGCCATATTTAGTGTAACTCAATAAGTTTTAAAGCATTAGTGTAGGAATTATTTGTTTTTTTCTAGATACCCATAAGCAGTATCATCTCCGTTGAAACTCCTAATACAGCCCCATCGAGTAAGAAAAAAGAAAAAAAAGAACAGCTTTCAAAAGCACAGAAACGTAAGCTGGCAGATAAAACAGGTTTGTGTTTTGTTGTCTTTTTTTTATAACGCAGATAAATGGGTTGCTTTTTAGTGTGATATGAGTGCTTAATAAGTATATTTCGATTTAGAAGAGTAGTTCTCTTTTCTTCATCCTTGGAACATTTGGATCAGACACTGTCTTAGGTCACAGATCTATATTGAAAATATTTACTACCTTACCACAAGAGATCACCGTTTGAGGGGAAGGTAAGTAAGTGGCAAAATAACTATAAATGAGTCTCGAGGTTGAGAAACAGAATAGCATACAAAAGTGTATCCTACTTGTACCCTTTCTGACATGTTTGGGATTTTCCTGTTTGTTTACCTCTCTGGCAGATATGTGTATTACTAAATATTTTTTGAACTATAGCTTTCGTTTGAAATGAAGTCTGGTATACCATTAGACCTTAGCACAATAAATAATATAATGTTTTTGTCTGTAGTTGATTTATTTATACAATTGGAATAAGATTTAAGAATAGAATTTCTGTGTCTCCTAAACCAGAGTCATTTTATGGACCTTTAGAAGAGAGTTTATAATTCTCATATCACCAGTAATATCTGATCTCTTTATTTAACCTGAAAATTTGCAAATTGCTATCAGTCTGTAAACTTTTTTTCCAGTTAAGGAAATGCATATATTTATATACATATACACAAGTGTGTCCATGTATACTACGTCTGTACGTGTGTGTGTTGGTATCAGGTTACAAGCTGCCCTTTATTGAAAAGAACTGACCCTTTTACTTTGGTGAGGAAGTTTAAAATAATGCCCTTTTATAAAGGGATGGCAGGTTTTTTTGCTTATGTTTAACGTCCTGTGTGGCAGAATGAAAGATTGCAACCCTTTGTTGGCCCTCAAAATACATTTTGAAGTCACAATAGTTTGTGAAATAACAAATCTGGGAATCCATTATACCTAATATTAAAGCATGAACAACCGAAGCAGTGAATTATTAGTCATTACAATCTGTTTTCTAGAATTTTGGTTAATGTCTTTTTTAATGCTGTAGCATCTCTGTCAGTTCATTACCTGTTGCTTTCATACATAATGACCTATGATCATTCCCTTTCATTATTGTTTCCCCACCTCCATCTTTTTGATGATGCCCACCTAAGAGGCACTATCTTTCTGTACTTACGGTATAGGAATTTGTGACTTGGAGCTTGCATTCTAAATAAAACTTTAAAAGGACCGTGAGTAAGTTTTAGTTAACAAAATTGGTGATCTGCCCCCACACCCCTGACAACCAATAAACAGTGGGATAAGATTCTTATTGGCATAAAGGAGAAAAGAGCCATTAGCATCTAAGATTGAGGTCCAGTAATGCTGCCTCTGTCCTGTAAGTACCATGAGGTTGGTTTCTGTTTCCCTTGTGTAAAATTAATGTATTGGTTTTAAATGCAGATTTTGATGATTTCATAAAACGAGATGTATAGAGCTATATCAAGCATAAAGGAAATCACACCTTTTTATACTAAAACACTTATATTTAGTAAACTGTTCTTCAAGTTTGAATATTCTATTAAAAGAATGAAGTCGCTTTGTAAACTATAATTTTTTATATAAAGTTTCAGCTTGTTTTCAAGCACTCCCAACAGATTAAAGACCGGTCAGATTAAACAATGTTAGGCTAAATAATGAATATTTTATCAGACCACAAAAGTTAATAAATAAGTTGACCAGGCCGCCTCCTCTGAGTTTCGAGGCCAGACATTGATTTATAAGGACTCTTGTCTTGAGCCTAGCTTCGTAGTTTAAAAACCCTCATGAAGCAGTAAAGTAGCACAGCGTCTCACTTAAAAAAGCCATGACCTTGTAAAAAGGGGTAGAATTGTACAAGTGCATGAAACTAAGAAATTGATTAGTTCCTCTTCCTGGCGTTTCCAACTCACCTCCATGTTTTTGTCTTAATATCATGGTTTTGTCTTGAGTGGAAATAGGGTAAATGTGAAAGGGAGTGTGTCTGAGTTACTTTGCAAGTATCCCGAGGAGAACGGTGCTTTCAATTCACAATGATGATAAACTGGTTTTCCAGCTTAATAATACCTGATTTAAAATTTTAATCTATTATTGTGTAGATCTATCTATTATTGTGTATTTAATCTATTGTGTAGAATGGTATGCAAAAGCTTATTGTTAGAATATTAATTGCTTTAAAAATTACTGCTTGGTCTTATAAAGTTACTGTTTTTATCCTCTAGATCACAAAGGAGAACTGCCTCGAGGATGGAACTGGGTTGATGTGGTGAAGGTATATAATACTTATATTCTGGGCTTCAAAACATTGTTATCAATCTGCCATCAAATAATGAAATTTGTATCTTCATTTTCCCCCCCCCCAACCTTGGAATTTTACTGGAATTGCTGTTTCCCTTTTTGCTTCAGCATGTAAGTATTTTTGAAATATCTTTCACATTCTTTTCTTTCCTACACCTTCAGTTTTAGATTTCCTTTATTTAAATAATGGAAAATCTGTAGAACTAAGCTATAAGTACCGTGAAGTATGACTGCTTACGTAAGTACATCTGAAGAAGGAACATGCCTAGCTATGACTCTGGATTAGCGGTAGTGTGGAAACAAGAAACAAGGCATTGAAAGGAATGCTTTGATTTCTTAGTAGAAATTCATATATATTTTTTAAGGGCAAACCCTAGATGGAGTTTCCCATCATTGTCAAGAAGGATTTTCTGTTTTTCTTATTTAAAATTGTTTACTTTTCACCTTGAAGTTTTTTGCCACCTTCTCTCAATATTTTTCTTATTGGTAGCTTCCAATATATTAAAGTGATGCTTACTTAATCCTTTTTCTTTTTTTTTTTTAAGATTTTATTTATTTATTTGACAGGGAGAGACACAGCGAGATAGGGAACACAAGCAGGGGGAGTGGGAGAGGGAGAAGCAGGCTTCCCGCTGAGCAGGGAGCCCGATGCGGGGCTCGATCCCAGGACCCTGGGATCATGACCTGAGCCGAAGGCAGACGCTAAACGACTGAGCCACCCAGGCGCCCCTAGTTAATCCTCTTTGTCGGACTTCATGAGATGAGTTTTGCATGCCAATTAGTGCCACTACTGCTGTGAGAAGTAATGAATATGATCCAAGGGTAGTTAAAGATTAGAATTTTAGTGGGGACCTACAAATACAGGTAATTTATAAACAGTATATTCTTAGAGTTCAAGTCAGCGGTTTGGGCCATGGGGTACCTTTGCTATAGAAACTGTTTAAAATAATCTTTGTGCCTAGTACAGAAATATTACCTGGGAGTAGGTGAGCTGCGATCGGAAGAAAGCAGCAGTATTTCTTGTCCGCTTCCTGGGCAAGGGGCTGACCGCACATAAGATGTCTGTGTGGGTGCGGCTTCTCCCGTGTTCTCTCATTTAGCCAGGCCCCCCTCCACTGATGCCTGATGGATACTCTGTGTTGTCCTAGGTGTGCTTGTATGTACCTCACCAGCCAAGTCATTTCCCTCCTTAAAATGCTTCGGGCTTCAGAATGAGAGTGCATGATGCTTCCCAGACAGTAGCCGTCAGCAGAAATTGGGCTCAAAAAGTAATCCGATGAATCCAAAGGTGGTAGTGCTCCTCCTTGCCTAGCTCCAGAAATTTAGTTTTCTGCGTGTTTTTCAGAGTCCTTGTTAATATAAATTAGAATTTCAACACATATAAAGGAAATGAAGATTGAAATAATCCAGTAATCTTGGGAGATAGGCGAAGATATTTTTAGGAGGGAGGTTAGCACGTAGGCGGGTCTGGACTCAGAATCTGTTATCTGGGGCGCCTGGGTGGCTCAGTTGGTTAAGCGACTGCCTTCGGCTCAGGTCATGATCCTGGAGTCCCGGGATCGAGTCCCACATCGGGCTCCCTGCTCGGCGAGGAGCCTGCTTCTCCCTCAAACCCTCCCCCCTCTCATTCTCTCTCTCAAATAAATAAATAAAATCTTTAAAAAAAAGAATCTGTTATCTGAAGCTAGTAGTTTCCAAATATGATCTTGGGATCCCTGGGAGGTCCTGGAGGCCTCTGGGCCTCTGCAAGGTCAAAACTGTTTACATCCTAATATTAAGGTGTTGTTTGCCTTTTTTCCTCATTCTCTCACAAGTGGACAGTGGTGTTTACCAGGGGCTCCATGAAGTATAATGATGCCATCAGTAATACTCTTCTCTTAGAGCACTAATAGAATGTGTGCTTTTGTATTCTTGTGTTTTCCAGAGTTTTCTAAGGTGAGTAGGTTTAGAATCTAAGTATGTGCATTTTTATATTAACTCAGTTTGTTGGGGCGCCTGGGTGGCTCAGTCGGCTAAGCATCTGCCTTCGGCTCAGGTCATGATCCCGGGGTCCTGGGATCGAGCCCCGCATCGGGCTCCTTGCTCTGCAGGGAGCCTGCTTCTCCCTCTCCTCCCTGCTTGTGCTCTCTCACTGTCTCTCCTTCTCTCTCTCAAATAAATAAATAAAATCTTCAAAAAAACAAACAAAAACTCAGTTTGTTCTTAGTACTTGTACTGTGTTTCTGTTCATGGTTTTCTGTCTTACCTGCCTTACTGTGGAAGCAGATTTGTGAAAACCCAGCTGTCTTCTGTTGAGCTCAGGAATAAAGAAATTCACAAAAATGTAAAACAACACTATTCTTCGCATTAAGTTTTATTTGTTTTAGAAGACACAGCTTTTCATTTAAGAAATGTTATTCGGTGATCATGGAATGAGTCTGTTGTTATTTTTACATGAACTCAATTCCTCAGTTTTAATTTCAAACACTGTAGGTTTAATATACATTTAGAAGAAAGCTCTTTTAAGATCCTCAAAGTGGGAAGAGGAGCTGGGGCCAGAATGTTTGAGAACTGCTACCCTTAACAGTTTCTGCTTTTCACAGCTTCCTACATTCTCTGGGGTTCTCAGGGTTTGGGTTCATTTGGGATTTCTTGATGGCTGGGTCTTTATTCTGGTCAGAATTGTCTGTGTATTCTTTGGGAACTCCCCACCCTCCCCCCCATCTGCTAAATTCTATAGATTTTTATCAGAAAAGACTTGCAATTTAAGATTTTTATCATATTTTTATTTATTTTTATTTTGTTTTTTTTTTAAGATTTTATTTATTTATTTGACAGAGAGAGACACAGCGAGAGAGGGAACACAAGCAGGGGGAGTGGGAGAGGGAGAAGCAGGCTTCCCGCCGAGCAGGGAGCCTGATGTGGGGCTCGATCCCAGGTCCCTGAGATCATGACCTGAGCCAAAGGCAGACGCTTAAAGACTGACCCACCCAGGCGTCCCTTTATCGTATTTTTAAAACTGTACTTAATTTATGTGGTGTTTTTTTTACCACAGTATTTAAAATTTTTGAAGTCTTTATTGTGAAAATGATAGAAGAATGTCATTCATTTTATAAGTGGCACCTTTTGTATGTTCTTGGTTCCAGTTTATTTCTTGGAAAGCTTCAAGGGATTTTTTTCCCCCCTTGCTCTATTGAGGTTGTATTTTTAAAGAATTGTGTTTAAAGTAGCTGAGCCTGAAGTTGAAAAGTAGTCAAATACGTTGAACGCTGTAGCTCGTATTAAGTTACATGAACCTTGTTGTCTGTTGTTCTATCAACTATAAATATTTATTTCTCGTAATAAGTGAAAACAGTGAACTCAAGTAATATGATAGCTTAATCTTGTTGATGATGTCCTTTTTTGTCTTTTATAGTTAAGCAAAACTGGCTCTAAAGATGATGAATAGTACTTGGAATTGAAGACAAGGGAAGAACATCCTTTAAGAAGTAAACTGGGTTCAAAATCCTTCATTACTCTTTTCTGGTATTGAGGTGGCTTTTTATAAAACAGAATTTTTTTGTATGTTTCTTATGTAAAAAACGTTTTAAGCTGAAAGTTCATGAAGAGATCTGGTTGTATTAAATTATTTTCACAAACTTGCCTTAATAAAAGGTGAAATGTTACTGTTTAGTATACTTTATGAAGATGGTTGAGCTTTGTAAATGGACAAAATGGGAAATAATAAATAATCAATGTGAATTTATATGCTCTTATTCTAGTGGATGTGATATTTTTTAAAGGAGTAGGAAGCCCTTTTGAAACTCTCACCCCAGTGGATCAGAATATTGAGTACACAGTTACTCTGTGGCATGATCCATATTAATAGACTTCTCGTCTTAATAAAGTCTTCATCTCTTCTTTCTCTTAATTACTGAAGCATAAATTGCTCCAGAGAAATTTAAATACTAATATTTGGACTTTTACATAATATTCTTTGTAGTTCCTTTTTATTTTTCGAGGGTGAACTGCTTCTTTTTAGTAAATGAGTATCTGTTCATCCTGTTCCTTTGGGTCATGATATTTGCCCGTGAGAGTTTTCAGCCATATGTGGAATAGGAGAATATAAAAATAAATCTGCCAAATGCATTCAAAAGCATTTGAATAGAAGTGCTGGTTCCCACTGAAAACATTTCTCTTTGCTGCATATACCAAGATGGGAGTAAAAGATGCCTTAATATTTAATTTTTGTATTGTTGGAGACAATGGTTTTAATAAATTCCTGTTTATCTGCTACTGTGTGGTTTTGGTTGTCTGGTAACAGGTCTCCTAAATGGTTTAACATAAAACCACCTCTCAAGTCTTGTTTCTTTTCAAGTATCCACGTGGGTTTCTCAGCCTGAGCATCTTCCTAGTTATAGACATAGAAGTGTTTCAAATGCTGAATCATAGTACAGGCTTGATTATTTTTTTTAATCACGAGTAGGGTACCTATTACTGTCGTGTAACCAGGAAGTTACTGATGTGTCTGTGTGATTCCCAGTGACTACATTTGCTTCCCGGCTGGAAAACCCTAGAAAAACCTTCTAGAAATAAATATTTCTAGAAGGGGAGGCTGTGTTCCTCCAATTACACCTGTGCAGCTCGGGCCTGAGTTTTTAAAGAATAATGAACTTGTAGAGACACGTCCTTAGCATACGAGCAGTTTAAATTACGTCCGTGGCTTTTACTGGGCTAACGTTAGGCTCAGTTAAATCGTGTGAGTTACACAGTAAATACAGTTATGGTGAAGAAGTGTAATCTGATTTTCAGAAGCTGAATCACATTTGATATCTTGAACTAATAGAACAGAAGCATTAAAATTCAAGACCACCGGAATATGGCCAACTTTTGTTCTGGGGGTTGTGTGTACATGGTTTTTGTTGTGTTGATTTGTTTGCTTGTTTTTAAAGAAACTGAAACTACGACATCTGCTCGTGGAACAAACCGTGTTTTGCTCTGAAGATTCTGAAAATTGTTCAGGCTTCTTGTGGTTCAGAGATGACAAAGAATAATGCTAGTTAAATGCCAATGAGCTATTTTTACTCTTTTTATATGAAATGTACAAATTTAGGGGGTGACGGTGGCAGGTGGTGCCTCTGACCACCTTCTGGGAAACACTGAAACATTCTCATCTGTATTGCCATCATCTGTTCAGCACTCCGAGTGTATTTTCTCAAAGTCTGTCTACCTGAAATTGTATGGAATGACATCATTAATAAGCAATAAAACCAGAATTACACACAGTGCTTTTCTCTGTGTTTTATTTCAAGTCGATGGAGAGAGAATTGTTGATTTCACAAATTTGCACAGACTTACCGTGTAAGATGTACCCTCCTACAAGAAACTGTTTAAAATGTTGAATTGAGAAAAAATTGTTTAATGAGCTGACAAGAAGGTAAAGGATACCCAGAGTCTAAAAAAATTTTTTTAATATTTTATTTATTTATTATTAGAGAGAGTGAAAGAGAGAGCACCAGCACAAGCTGGGGAAGGCAGAGGGAGAAGCAGACTCCCTGCTGAGCAGGGAGCCCGATGGAGGGCTCCATCCCGGGACTCCAGGATCATGACCTGAGCCGAAGGCAGACGCTGAACAGACTGAGCCACCCAGGCGTTCCCCCAGAGTCTAAAACATTTAAACAAAAGTTGGAAGCTTGAGGTTAAGGACAGCTTCAGTTTTTACAGCATCAGGGGCCCAGAAGACAGATGAGGTCTGGGGATCAACCCAGGTTAAGGAGTCACACACAGGTACACACAGCATGCATGAGGCTGAGACCTATCCCCTGGGGGGACCCTGAGGGAAAATTCCTGTCTTGAACTTTGGCCCTCCATGGAAGGGTAAAATGTAAACAGAGGGACAGGGACTCTCCTGATGACTTACAACAGGGTTCCTCACACTTGGATTTCAGCCCAAATTTTTCCCCATATGAGTGATCTTAAAAAACAACTCCTCAAGCCAGGATTTTAGTTTAAAGTGGTACCATCTGGGCACCTGGCTGGCTCAGTCGGTAGAGCAGGTGACTCCTGGTCTCAGGGATTGTGAATTAAAGTCCCAGGTTGGGTGTACAGAGTATTTTAAAAATAAAGTAATTAAAAAGTGGTGCCAACCAGGTAGAGCCTCTGGGCAACTAGTAGAAATGACCACATATTGACCTTGGAAGAACCCACCTTCAAGCCAGACCTCCAAAGAAAGCCCCACACTAGAGTGCTCGGAATGCGCTCTCACGGTCAAAGCCACGGTCCACGGAAGCGGGACATTGTGACAGTCTCCTACAGGGAAGCTGAGGGGAAGGAGCACTTCAAGGATGTATTGTTACAACACAGACTCTTAGATGTTAAGAGGAATTGAGTAAGGAACAAGAAACTTATTAAGACGCATCAAGCAGATTTGGAAAAGAACCAAATAGAACTTCTCGAAAAGTAAAATAACTGGAATTAAAGTTACAGATGAAGACACGTGTTCTTTGGCAAATCCGAAGTATAAATATCCTGTGGAATGAAGGCGGAACTAAATTTGCACTTTGGGATTTTCTTTTTCCGATTGTAACCTTAGAATCTTTCTTTTTTTTTTTTTTTTTAGATTTTTTATTTTATTAGAGAGAGAGAGTGCACGTGAGGGGCCGAGGGAGAGAGAGAGGCCGACTCCCTACTGAGCAAGGAGCCCAATGTGGGGCTTGATCCCAGGACCCTGGGATCATGACCTGAGCTGAAGGCAGATGCTCAACCCACCAAGACACCCAGGCGCCCCAATCTTAGAATCTTTCTGCATTATTTCTTCACAGGCCCCACCATTTTAGGTCAGCTGGATGATTTGAGCTTTCCAAAAGTTCTGCTTGACAATTGCATGTGTACCTTCCAGGACCTTGTTTCAGAAGAGACCAGTTAGGACAAGGATTTGGCCAATGTTTCCAGAGGTTGTCTGTGATAACTTTAAAAAGAATAAATTTAGAAATCATGCTCTGTAATAAGAGTTTTGTCACTGGATAGTCCACAGAATAAAAACAGAACAAAAGGCATTATCTGGTAGGAGTTATCTGGTAATCTGATTCTAAATTTCAGTGTTTCCATTATGTGACAAAATAATCAGGAATTGATCAATGATCTGAAGTGTTTTTCTGTGTGTGATCCATTAATGAAGAAACTCATTGAAGGTCTTCACCAGCAATTTTCCAATGGAATGGAAGAGAACAGAATTCAACAGAAAATACCAGTGTATATCACATGTTGTAAGGGTCTTTGAGTGCATGTGACTGTTGTTTTGGTTTGGGGTATGTATGTGCATGTACTGTATAAAATTTATTTCTTAAAGTACATCACAGTGAAAAAGTTTTAAAGGCACTGATCAGAGCATACAAAATGTGGGACAAATTTTATATGTAAAGATTTCATTTTTAAAAGCACAAAATGGGGGTGCCTGGGTGGCTCAGTCTGTTCAGCGTCTGCCTTCGGCTCAGGTCATGGTCCCAGCGTCCTGGGATCGAGCCCCGCATCGGGCTCCCTGCTCTGCGGGGAGTCTGCCTCTCTCTCTCCCTCTGCCCCTCCCCATGCTTGCACTCTCTCTCGTGCACTCTCTCTTTCTGTCTAATAAATAAATAAATAAAATGTAAAAATGTGCCTCTCAAAGTGCTAAACACATTGATTTTGCATTATTTTAAAAAAAAAAAGACCAATGAAGTGAAGCTGCATTGCGTAGTATAATGGGAGAGGAGCAAAATGTTAATTTAGGGTAGGATCTTTGAATGACTTTGTAAATTTATAATAATGAAAATTCTTGCATGACAGGGTTGGTTTTTTTTGTTTTTAGGTAATAGTAATGTATCAATGCTGCTGTCTTAGTTTTGACAAATGTATTATAATAAAGTTAAGATGTTAACAGTAGGGGAAACTGGGCGAGAGGTATGTAGGACTTTACCTGTAATATCAGCACATTTTTTTTAAAGTCTAAAATTAGTTTCAGATTCAAAAATATATTTATTATGGTGCGTGCCGGTCCCTCCAACCCTGAGAGAGTTCTAACAGCTTCCCCGCCTGGGTGGCTCAGTTGGTTAAATGTCTGCCTGAGGCTCAGGTCATGATCTCAAGGTCCTGGGATCGAGTCCCACATCGGTCTCTCTGCTCCGCAGGGAGTCTGCTTCTCCTTCTCACTCTCCCTCTGGGTTCTCCCTCTCTCTCTCTCTCTCAAATAAATAAGTAAATAAATAAAGTCTTTAAAAAAATTTTTTTTGAAAATTTTTAATAATTTTTTTAAAACTCTGCGTCCAGGTGACACACAATGTGACATTCTTTTCAGGCAGTCAGCGTGGTGATCCTCCTGCGTGCCGTGCGGGCTCACCACAAAGACACCTGCCGTCCGCATGACAGCTTTTGAACTGAGCACCTTGCGTGAGGAACTGCAAGTGCTAATGCCTGAATCAATGGTAAATAACTTTGACAGTTTTAGCTTCTTACTCATAAGAACCCAACGTAAGAAAATGCGTCCTATTCTCCCACCATTTCTCGAGGAAGAATCATTTTCTTCCTGGGCTTCCCGTATAAATCTAGTCACTAAAATAAATTGTTGTCATGGGCTGATGGTGGTAAGAAAGCGGACGGGAAACACTGGCACCCTCGCCCGTTCTCCCCTATTTTGGCTGCCGGCACCTGGGAAGTTGGAAGTAACCTCACGTGTCTCTCTGTGGCCTTCTGGAGCATTTCTTTCCCGTGGCTCCCACAAAGCTTTGGCCTTTTGGGACACTATTCTCGGTATTTTAGGCAACAAGCCATCTCCATGTCCAGTTCTGTCCTTTTGTTAACAACAGATAACGGAATTTAGAAAAGGAAACTTCACACAGGGAGAAAAATGCACATGAAAACATTTTTTGCTTCGTAATTAAGTGGCTAGAAATTAACCTTGAACATCGTCCTATGATGATAGTTTTTCAAGTACAGAAAGGTGAGGAGAGAGGTTTGCTTTTAACGCGTGGAATTGCGTGCAAGGTGAGACTCCGTGTTTCTCCCGAGGGCAGTGCTGTTCTGAGTCACTTGACCACCCACCCCGTTTGTGAAGGAAAATTCTCAGACTTGGACTCCGGGTCCTGGGAGATGTGAATCCCTCTGAGGTTTCAGTGGAAGCAAACACTTCATCAATTCCTACATTCTTTTCACGGTCTGTTTTGTATTCTTAAAAATCATCCTAGTTGGGCGCCTGGGTGGCTCAGATGGTTAAGCGTCTGCCTTCGGCTCAGGTCATGATCCCAGGGTCCTGGGATCGAGCCCCACATCGGGCTCCCTGC